CATGTCTGCTGTTGCTAATCAAAAGTTTAACCAGTTGTACCTCCAGGGATACCAGCCTCTCCAAAACCATCTAGAGGACTGCTCTGAGGGCCCCCACCAGAACACAGGAGCCTGAGGATCCTGCCCCATACAGTACCCCCTGCCAGCAGGAAGCAGCTAAAGAGACCGATGCTTTGCCCCAATTCCTGATCCTCAGCCGCTACCCTCATCAATATTAAAGAAAAAATGGGGGAATGATAGAACAATAATGTCCCCATTTTGTGAATCAGCCAAAATGGCAGCCCTGCCCTTAAACAAATTCCCGTGCTCTAAGACAGCCCCACCCCTACCAGAGACTACTGCACCTGTACTAACTTCCTTACCCTCCCCCTTCTATAAAAGCCACTGCTCGCCCAGACTAGGGACTGCACCATCTTTTCCCAGCCAGCCTGGCAGTTTGGGCCTGCCATTAAACTGCTCTATGGATGTGAGACTTTTCTCATGAGCTTTCTTTGAAAGTGACCTTTTTCCTAACACTTTGTATATTCTAAAAACAGAATTTACAGACACACCGTTAAATACAATATTGAAGTATATATGCCATACGATAACTTCTAATGAAGAACATATTTTACTTTTAACATTTAGTTAAGGATGAAAACAGTTCTTGAAATATACACACAAGATAATTTTCTGGAAAATAAAATACTTCTTATTCTAAAATGGCAACCCCAAAATATAGGCAGTAGCAAATATTTCTTTCTGCCAAAAATGTCTATTTAGCACTGATTTGTGACAAGTAAAAAACCTTTGCACATATATACAGTCTGCTTATTAATTTTGAGAAGCACTGATCCCTTCCTTTCAAACTTCCCTTAATATGTTAAGATGTCCATATTCCTTTAATTATCATAGCAAGTTCCAGAAATAAGGAGATGGGGTGTGTGTGTGTGTGTGTGTGTGTGTGTGTGTGTGACCGAATCAGAGATTTGGGAAGCTAAAACGAACTGAAAGATGATGTCAGAGATTAATTTTAAAAGTATTCAAGGAACTTGATTTACACTTTTCTCAAATACCATGAAAGAAGTAAAACAAAAAAGATTATCCAATAAACCACGGAAGGTGGTTTATCCTCTCCTGTAACAATAATTAATAGCATCAGGTGTTAAAGTTAGTATCAAAGGGCGGCTGCCTTGGAGCAATTTCTAATCCCCATTTGCAGGCTAATTTAACCTTTTGTTGTTGTTTTGCTTGTCTCCCTCTGCCTCTACTTTTCACATTGTTAAAAGGAACAAAACAATACCTGCCAATCTTTGATATTCTAGACTGAGACAGGCCAAGTCATTAAATGCTATCATCTTGGATGTGACCAAACCTAAAGCTAAATGAAAATGCCCCATCTGGTTTCATAGATACTAAACTGATTACAAAAATTTATCAATTTCTATCTTTCCTCTCCATGGAGATAATACTTATTTTGTTGGTTAGCTGCAGACTATTCTAAATACAGGCTGAGATGTGTGCTAAAATTGTCCTTATTTTTTACCAATCACTGTGAACATTACACATGGTCATAGAGTTTATTTGATAAGTACCTTGAAAAAATAGATTTTTAAATAATAATGTTGACAAAACTACATATCAAAATTTTTCCAGCAAATGCTGATTCAAATTAAACCCACAGTTGTGACCTTTTCAACCAGTACTCCACATTTATGATAGAGTAGGCCTATAACAATTAAACAGATTTTATACCAGGGAAGTTTAAGCGGGGTCACTGCACTTACAAAAGGAATATAGCACTACCTTAAATGAAGTGTGTACCTAAGCAATGTATAAAATTCTTATCCAACAGATAGTCACAAAATGATCTTGAATCTGCTGCTCCACCTTTCAAATCTGCAAGTGCTCAATTTACTTTCAAAAAAAGACAATTTCACTGCACATACTGTAATGGAGGAGGGAAGAGAATTTTTATAAAACAGGCTCCTGGCATATTGTCGAATTAACTGTTGCACCAGTTCACACTTTGCAAAGTAGTGGGAGAGAGAGACAGAAATGTTCAAAAATAATCCTTTGTCAAATATAATGTACCATTTCACATGGCTCACATGTGTAGGCAGAGGGACAAAAATAACACCAAAGTCTGGAAACTCAGGTGCCACACCACCATGTAGGAACAACAATGTGGAGGGTTCAACCCACCTAGTGGAACAACACTATTATCAATTTCCAAAGGGAAAGTATTCTCAGAGACCTTCAGGCCATCCCCAGAGAAGACCCAGTGTGCCCTTGACCACTTTGCTCCAGACCTTCAAAAAAACATAAACCAACCAGATGCTTGCAGGTAACAGGTGGGGAAAAAAAAAAAAAGAAAGTGAATTTCTCACCCACCATCCAAGAGCCTAAACAACGCCAATGCCTCACTATGTCAACTGCTGTGTGTACTTAGGACAGGCATGTGTTAACAGAAAATTGTCAAATGGGAAATAAGGGTCAGTGGAGAATAAATAGTCAAACCTATTGAAATGTACCTTTTCTACTTTTAACTCTAGGGAATTCGTTTGCTAATCCCACTTCAACTTTGACAGAGAATGCCTGAGAGAAATGGAAATAGACTCACTAGCTTCTAAGAGCTTAAGTAAATTATCTTAATAGGTTCTAACTAATCACAGGACAATTTCTGCCTAAAATACTCTGAATGTCCATCTTCCATCAGAAATCATCTTTCAAGACCTGAAAAGGGTACAAAGGAAGAATTTAAGGTATTGTTATCGCACTTAAGTCCAAATCACCATTTTCTGGTATTCAGCCCATTTTAAGTTATTTTGTTAATTACTCATTTGTAGGTAGACTCAACTTTTAACTTCCTTAATGTAAGGAATTCAGATAGTCTGCAGATACCAGACTATATATTTAGACTATACAGTTCTAAATCCAGGTTGGTATATTTATACTGTTGGTGATGTTATCTAAATAAAATATCCTGCTTCTGTTTTAAAATATTGCTGCTGACCACCCATCACTAGGACATGCACTTTCCTTTCTTTGTTTTTAATAGCAATGATACTGTATTTTTGCTTATTCATTCATTTCAATCTTGCTTGTTTCCCTTGGGATTAAACAGATTGGAGTACAATACGCCTCATCAAGGTTTAGAGTGCAGCCAATAGCCATGTAAAGAAAGAAAAAAAAAGATACAGCCTCCTAGGAATCAAACTTAGGACTATGCTTAAGACTCTACTTCTCTTATAGACTTATCTGAACAGCAAAGAAAATGTTGTGTCTACATTTTATGTTCTTATTTAGACAGGGGGCTTGAGTTTATCCATATCCCCATTACCTTAAGAAAGAATTCTCTAGTGCAAGTGGTTCAATACTTTAGAAACGATGAACTAAATGACTCTGTTCCTGTCTGCCATCAAACACTGTGCTGGTACTTAGAGATAATGAGCATTTGTGCTATAGCAACCTGCCTCCTGAGACATCAACAGGAGAAAATCCATAAATCATAAATGAGAGCAAGTCAGATGACCCACCAAAGGAGAAAGACCTAGCATCCATTATTTTTGCCGAAGGAGTATACAAGGTCAGTATAATTGTTGGCTCTGAAAGGCAGGGCAAACAACAAATCAATTCAGTTTCCCACTGTACAGAACTCGTTTTTACTCCAACACCTATATATATATTTTTTAATGAGACAATGCCTAAGAGCAAATGCTTGTCCAGATTCTACCACTTGCTGAGTAATCTTGGGCCTTTTCAGTTTCTTAGTCTACAAATGGGATTACCATCTACGATGCCAAATCACAAAGTTGCAATGAGTCAAATGCGTGATCTGAGTCTGGGTTTATCTGTAGACCTACTGTGTGAACCTGATAATTGTTCTTACTTCAAATGTTAGCTAAAGTTTATATAATATAAATTTCCAGATTTCTTTTTACCATCCTAACTGATTTCTCCAAGACTTGAACAACCATCATCTATCACTGTTAAAAATGTGTTCAACATCTCCTGTTATGACATAGTTCTCTTGTACACTGTTGTCCAGATACTACTTTTTACTAGATGCTTTCTAAGACAATAAATATTTTCCCACATGATTCAAAAAATTTTCTCTCATACTTTTGTAATTCCATAGGCAGGAAGTTTACAGGTTGCTGTTGCTGTCATTTGAGATTACTACTACAAAAATTGAATCTATGCTTAACATCTAATAAGTGCATTTGCACGCACATTTTGGGCCCACTAGGCATTAACACAGTGGAAGGTCCATGGACTTTGGAGACAGGGAAACTTGTATTCAAATCCTGCTCTGTGACCTTGAGAATGTAATTTAACATTTTTGCTCCTCACTTTCCACAACTGGCTCTGGATTGTGATGATTTAATGAAATACTACCTACAGAAGTAAGTGCTTAGGATCTGAAATCATTATTTCCTATCTCGCTTAAATCTTTTCCTTCTGTGCCAGGACCACTCAAACCCAGACTGATTACAAGATAACTTTAATAGGACATCTTTCACGTTATTGAGGGAAGGCTACGATGTAAAAATAAAGTGTATGATAACATGAATTCAGCGAAGCCAGAGGCAGAGAAACCGAGAGGTACCTCCAATGTCTTCACTCAGATGTGCGAAAAAGACACTAATCTGACCCACTTTCAAGAGTGCACCGCACACTCGCGGAGGTATGTACTGGGATGTAGGGAAAGGACGGAATTACCAAGCCATCGAGTTCACCCCACCCGACCCCGCCCGCGCGGGTCATCTCTCCGGAGCCTAGAAACTGGAGTGCCAGCGGCAACTGACCTCGTCCCCTTCCCTTCCCTCCCCCATTCCGCCCAAACCTCTGGGCACCGATGGCGCTGAATCACGAGCCCGCCAGCAGCAGCTCCCCGTTTCAGGATACCACCTAGAACGCCGTCCCCAGGGCAGGGCCCGTCCGGGGCGGGGGACCAAGACCTAGGGGTGCGGGGACCGTGGGAGGGGGTCGGGAGGAGGGCGACAGCAGGTACTCACCGGTGGCGAGGCAGCCCTACCCAATCCTCGCGTCGCCGCCGGGGTGGCCCCGCGGCGGCTCTGCGCTCCCGGCTGGCCGCCGACAGGTCCTGGGCCCGGCAGCCTGCGCTGGTGTCCGCTGGTCCCCTGCCTGCTCACAGCCAGCGGCAGCCACCGCTCCGGGCTCCGGCGCTCGACCCAAGCAGCTGGAGCAGCTGTCGCTGCCCAAGGGGGTGGCGGCTAGCGATGGGCCAGACCATTCGCCCGCCGCGGCCGGGGGTGCGCGGTGTGCGCGGAGGCGCGCGCGCCGAGAGCTGCGGGGCCCGCGACCTCCGGAAGGAACCAAGGGACAGGGGCGTCCTCGCCCACTCCACGCGGGGACCCGCAAGTCACAGCCGCTCTTCCCCCGGGTTTGCGGAAAGCAAGGTCAGGCTTTTCCCGCACCCCTTGCGCCTTAGCTGTGGGCCCGCTCCGGCTCCTTTAGAACGCGGCAAACAGTGGACCTAGCAACGGGAGCGCCGGGCGGTGTCCCCTCCTCGGGAGATGCGAACAGGGCGGTGGCCCGAGCACAGCCTCTTGCACCTGGTGGCCCTGGTGGTACCAGACCTGGGTCGCGTGTCACCGAAGTCAGCTTGCCACAAGATAGCCTGGCATCTCGAATCTTTGATGGGGCTCCTCTGATCGTTTATCTCAGCATCCTTGTGAAGCAAAGAATCAAAGAGTATCTAAGGCCAGCTAGAAAGTTAGAAAATATAGATGTAGCACACTGTTTCACTTGATAGACCTGTAGAGAATTATAGAAGGACTTTAAGAATATTTTGGATTCGTTGTTTCCTATTTTAGAGATTAGTGTGTTGGGAATGGGGAGACTGTCAGGCAAGCATGGCCTTGTATGAAATGAACTTTATAGGGAAAGTTCCCACACATGACACTCTTTTGGACTTTTGTGGTCCTCGCCACTGTCCCAACTGGATTTACAAAGGTTTGTTTCAGATTAGGATGAAAATTAAAACAAGTGTACAGTTTTTCTTATAGAAAGAAAGAGAAGTCAACCTATAATTAGCAGCTACCTATATATAGTGTCATTAAAGGAAGGGGTAAAGACCCTCCAAATGCATTCTTATGAAATTTCACAATTTAAAGTCATTTTCTCTGAATTAAAGTTCTGTCCTCTTTGGAATAAATCAATATAAATTGAACACATCCTATGAATTAAATATTATCTTGAGAGTATTTTCAGTTTTATCCCTCTGTCCTTCAAAATACTCCTGTGAAATGGGTGAAAATCTTCCTATTTTAAAATGAGTAAACTGAACTCTTAAGTTGTTTTGTGCTGGGTTTGTCTCGTAGACTGAGTAGCCAGGCAGACATTGCCACCTGGACTTCTTCACTAATGAGTGCCTTTCCACTAGAATGCCTCAGGGGGAAATATAAACCATTAAGCCTTAGAACATCTCTAATTGGCACCTGAATGTTAGTTTGTTTTTCCTTTGTGAAAACTGGGTTTTATGGTGGAGACAGGGGAACACTTAAGACTCACCCTGAGGTAGAAATAGGAAATAAAAAGAAGAGGCCAGACATCACAGAGAAACTGTAATGTCAATGCACTCTTAGGGTCATGTAGAAAAAGGAGCGATTCACTGCCTTTTTGTTGATTATTCTCACGATATCATTTACACTGTATTATACTTCGCACTAAATTTATGCTATTGTTATATTACATTTGCCATTCTTCCAAACCCAAGAAAGAGCAGAGTTTTAAAATGACTTTACTATCATGCTTCCTCATATGCCTTACAAGAATTTAAAGAAAAAAAAATAACAGGATAAAAGGGCCATTAGCAACTCTCACCTCACCTGGAGAAAGATTTTTCAGAAATCACGAATAGAATTAACTCGTTTCCATAGGATGTACCATTGTTATTAAGTGTTAATATTCACACGTCAGTACCAGCACAACAAAAATCCCCAGAGCTCTATGTTGCCAAGGAGCCAGAGCACTGGGTCCCCAGAGAAGGCAGGCAGCTGTGACTCAAGCAAGTGGCCTCATTCTCAGACATGTGATTTTTCTCTCCAAGCACATTTGTTTCATTTTCAAAGGCAAAAACAACAGGAACAGAACAAGAGTTGAAGAGATGCTTTTCAACCAGTGTTTTATGTCTACTGCTGGATGATAAGGATAAAGGAGGGGAGGAGAAGGCCTTGAGTGGCCACTTAAGACCAAGGTGAGAATTAGAACTTACCATCTATGAACTTGACAGACTGGTGTCATCTCTATTTGTATAATTGGTGTTCCTGGCACAAACATTTCTGAATAAAGGAAAGAGAATACTTGTGATGGGAGCCTTGGGGAGCTATCAAAAAGAATGAAAGGAATGGCATGGTGCCTGCATTCTGTGCCCTCCCTCAGAGTCTCCAAATGGTTTTGATTCCCCCAGGAAAAGTTGGTAGGTCCACAAACTGAGGAATAATTTTCACAAATGACTTGAGATTTGGGATCTCTTACATTTTGGAATAGTTCAGCGAGCCTCTTAACCAAGTAAAGCACAGAGAGAAAGTCATCCTGTCCACCTGTCTGCCACTAAGCTCTGTGCAGCCTTGCCACCAATAAGAAGCTGCTCTGCCCAGCAAGAGCATATTCTGATAAAAAACACGGGTGGCCAATACAGGGCCAAGGAAACTTGACAAGACTAGCAGAGAGGTAAAGAGGAGGAAATTGTTCCTGAGAAACTTGGAGGCCTAGCTGAGGATTTCCTGAGGTGAATGTAGAAGCCTGAGTTGAGGATGGGAAAATTATTACTTACAGTGATTATTGAATCTTATTTAGACACTAATTATTTGTATTCACAAACCAACATGAAGTGATAACATTAAAATATTACTGTGGAATTATACTAATAAGAGAACAGAAATAACACTCAACACTTAATAAAACTTCATTGTGAGTCACTTGATGTTGAACCTTGAGCTAAGCACATTAAGTACCTCCTGCGTGTTAACCTCAAACTGAGGCACTGGGTGATATTCATATCATCCCAAATACTCTTGCCGAGGAGACTAAGGGTGTTCTTTCCTTTTGCTTATTAAATCACTAAATATACTAAATCATTAGCATATTCAAAGTGAGTACTATTTTCAAGGGAAGTATTACCATACCCATTATAAATACAAAGAAACCAAGAGTTACCATGATGAAACTAGAAAGATGGAAATCTGGTTTCAAATGCAAACCATTAGGCAACATTGCTCTCAACATACTTTTATTGCTTCCTATCACACAGAAAGAGGGAGTACATTGCATGTTTCTCTAAAATAGAAAATCTATTTCATATTTACTTCTTTTGAGTTTCTTGAAACAAATCTCACTATGTAGCCCAGACTGGCTTGAAATGACAATCTTCTTGCCTCAGCCTTGTGAATGCTGGGATTACCAGCATACTCTGCCATAGTTATCTCTTAATCTATATACAGCTCTCATTTCTAAAAGAAAACGAGACATTTCTCACAAATAAGATTTAGTATGACAGTCCTCCAAATGTAAACTTCGAAAAACCCTTTTCTAGGTTTCGCTCAGAAAAGAACCCCTGAAATAATTGATCATTGTATCATGAGTTTGACTACTGATTCCTAAAATTCTTGCTGCTAATTCTGCTTTCAGGAACTCTTAGGTAAAAACACGGAATCTATATTCCTTTGAAACATCATAAGTGATTCTAATGCACAACCACGTTTGCCCAGACCAGACAGGACAAGAGCAATGTACAGCTCACAAAAGAAAACAAAAACACTCCCCTAGACTTAATTAACTCCTTAACCCCACCATTTACTGAACAGGAAATGGGAGATGGGTATTTAAAACTTATGTATCATTTGACATTGAATATAAATGTATTTATTATATTAAAGTGTTTAGACCATTTTAGTGTTGTTTTGATGCTTCTCTATAAACCATGTACATTTCTTACCAAATTTACGTTATTTGTCATCTGAATAAAATGTTCTTCCCATATCTTTTTCTGCTTTGCCTAAATGGAGAAGGGCTGTCTCTTTTGTATTCATCCAATGCACCAAATTCTCTTACTTGATTTAGTCTCTTGGGTTTTCAAAGAAAACAAGCATGTGGTCACTATAGAAACAGGGTCTCTTTTTTCATCATTTATGCCAGTTATTTTATTTACAATTGCTAAAACTAGCAATGTGAATCATTATGGAGATGTTTGTCTAATTCCTGATTTTATGGAAATTATTTAACTTTTTCCATTTAGGAAAATATTTGTTAGTAGGCGTTCCTTTATTATATAAGTAATTTCCTTTGTTCCCACTTTGCTTTGCATTTCCTTTGGCATTGTTCACTTGGCCTTTGTCTGATTCTCTTTCACAACCTATTGATAATGGTCAGGGGTTCCCTTTTAATATTTAATGCAATCAATATGTAGCTAGACTTCTTAGTATTCAACTAACCTTTCATTCCTCTAGTAAAGCCTGTTTTGTTGTGATCTGTTATACTTTGAATCATTTCTCTACTGTATTTTCAAATATACTCAGAGATGAAATTGGCCTGTGGTTTTAATTGTCACATTCTTTCTTGGGCTTTAATATTAGAGTTATTCTGACTTCATAGTATTCACTGGAGAACTTTCAATCTGTCTAACACCTATAATAGTTTAAATAATATTGTAATCATCTATTTTTAATAGTTAGATTAAAAATTCATCTATGATTTCATCTGCCTGCAGTCTTTTTCAATAGTAAATCATTAATCACTTCTCCAGTCTATTCTACAATAATGGTTCTATTCAGCATTTTTGCTTCTTCTTTGTCAATTGTGGCAATGTGTATTTTCCTATAAAAGTATTCATTTCTTCTGGGTCTTATTTTTTAATATACTGGTACCAAGTCACCATTAGTATTTATTTAGAATTCTTTTAATCTCTCTTGTTTTCACACAATCTTGTCCAATTTTATTTCATTCTTTTTTCCTTAGTAGACTCAAATGGTGTTTATCAACACTTACTGGTCTTTTTTAAAAACCAATCTTGGAATTTATTATCCTTTTATAGTATCTTTTCTACTTGAATAATTTCAGCTTTCCAAACTTATTAATGTTTCTAAAGTTTCTTTTGTTGTTGTTGTTGTTGTTGTTACTTGGGTTCATTGAGATAAGTACTTGACTTGTTTT